TTAGAAACAGGAAGTGTGATAACCCAGCCCCAAGCAATGGCGGCCAGCCATGTGCAGGACTTCCCTTTGCGAACAAGCCTTGCAACGAAGGATCGTGTCCAAGCAGTACGTAACAAACTAACTCGCTTGTTTGTATTGGAACAGCCTTTTTTAAAAAATCCAAGCTTCATTCTCATCCCAAAAAGTGTCACTTATTGCCGCCGAATGCATAAAATATTTTTGAAACGAGGGAAGCAAGAGGTAAAAAGTTGGTTTGCTGCAGTTAAACTATATGAAAAACGTATTCTCTTTGGTCCAGAAGGAAACTCACAGTTACTCGATATTGAGTCGTCTCCTTGTTCAAAGGAGTTTTTTCCTTTTTACAACCCTTGGGATGAAGAGAAACTACGGTGTTTGCTTATAGCAATTAGAAATTATTCTGATGATGGGCAGTGTGACAAATATGAAATCATAGATCATTGATGGAACCAGTGCGGCCGAGTGGTTAGGACGCTTGTCTTGTAATCTGACGGTACCAGGTTCAGGCTCTCCACCCCGCTACTTAATGGCTTTGTTCTCGATTGTCCTGTGTTTAATTCCTTGGCTGCCCTTTGTATAGAGCAAACAAATGAATGCCTTGCCAGTTGAGCTTTCAAAAACTAAAAATAATAAAAAAACTAAACCAATGAGGTAGTATAGAATGGTTTTGAATTTATTTTGACGAGCAGTACTTCCTTGCTTAGATTTGGGAACGGACTGCATGTCGTTTTCAGAGTGTCATGGTCAATGGTGAAGCAATTTTCTTTCAAGCCAGGAGCACATATCTCTCCTTGCTATGACTGGAATCAAAGGAAAATGATTGCTCGGATTGGATAAAAGCATCATTTTTCAAATCTCAGTCTTTTCTTGAGCGAAGTACGTTTTAAATTGAGAAAGATAACAACTTCTCTTCTCTCAATTGCAGTTGACGGCGGCTGGGGAGACTGGAGCGCTTGGAGCGCATGCAGTGTAACTTGTGGGCCTGGCACTAGTATTAGAAGCAGGAAATGTGATAACCCAGCCCCAAGCCCCGGCGGCCAGCCATGTGTAGGACTTCCCTTTGCGAACAGGCCTTGTAACGAAGGATCATGTCCAAACAGTACGTAACGAACTAACGATCGCTTGCTTATTTAAGAACAGTCTTTCTTCAACAATTGGCCAAGCTTGATTCTCATCACAAAAAGGGTCACTTGTTGCCGCCGAATGCATGAAATATTCTTAAAAACGAGGGAAGCAAGAGGTAAAAGTTGGTTTGCTGCAGTTATGTTATGTGAAAAACGTATTCACTTTCGTCCAGAAGGAAACTCACAATTACTCGATATTCTGTGGTCTCCTTGTTCAAAGGAGTTTTTTTTCTTTTTCACAACCCCTGGGATGAAGAGAAACTACGGTGTTTGCTTATGGCGATTGGAAATTATTCTGATGATGGGCGGTGTGAAAATATAAAATTATAGATCATTTGATGGAGGCCGTGCAGCCAAGTGGTTAGGGCACTGGTCTTATGATCTGATGGCGTCAGGTTCAAGCCCTTCACCCTGATACTCAATTGATTTGTTCTAGGTTGCCCTGTGTTCAACTCCTTGGCTGCCCTTTGCATATAGCCAACAAGTGAACCTCCTGCTAGTTAGGTTTTCAAAAGCACTTGTTTCCAATTTGTTAGTATTGACTCTGTGAAACTCCATTCGGGGGAGTTGGTGAATTAAGTATATATGCATCCAAACACACGTGTAATATGACCTCGCTAGAACTCAGTCACTGACACACTCCCCAGCACTGGTGATCGGTTACAATTGGTTCTCGGTCTCAGGTGACGACTGTTGGAGCGAATGGAGTGACTGGAGCAACTGCAGTAAAGTTTGCAGCTGTGGCAAGAAATACAGGGTCCGTTATTGCAAGTGCGGGCATGGGCAGGGGAATGAAAAATGTCAAGGGAAGACTGATAACTCTCAGAGTTGTAACTGCCAACCCTGCCCTAACGGACCTCCTGCTGATGACGTAACGGAAGGTAGTGTGCATTGACTTGGTTTGGCTGGGACTGCTCGCGGTCGATTACATGAGATATGAACCCACTTTGGAGCTTCAAAACATTTCTTGATTAGCTGCTAGAAAAAAGGACTCATTATTATGTCTTCTTGAAAGAGGATTCCCGATTACTGATCTTTTCTGACATTATCGCTGACACTTTTTTTCTTTTACAGGTTAAAGACACCGAGAAGCATTGGAGACGTACATTTTAGTAGTTTGCGACTAATCTAGCTCTTTCGTGACGTGTGAAATATCTTCAAAGAAATTCGACGTTAAGATGCTCTCATATTATCGACATAGCCTGTTCTCTTTTTCCTTTATCGGTAACAGCACTAAAGTTCATAAGCTTTTGGAGCTTCTGTTTGCCTTTTTGATATGCGGGACGTCTTTGTGTTTGTAATGTACCAATGGAAAGGCATGCCATGGCTCAAGTTCATAACTAAATAAATGGTGTTTTAAAATTTTTGTGGCAGTGTTTTAGTGAGTCTCTGTTATCCGTTAAGTTTTGCTACAAGATTTCTTTTGGTTGAAGAGGAACATTGAACGACAAGCGGTATCTTTGTTCGTTAGGAATGAGCAAGGGGAAATCCATAAGTTATTTTAAGAATAAATGCACGATAAAAAAGATATCATGTAAATTGTTATGACCGTCCCTCTTAGCCTTGAGAAACGCCTCATGCTATTACTAATTTAATAAGTCGGCGGGGAAGGTTAAGCGAATCCTGTTTCTTTTTTTTTTTAGTTGGGTACACCCATGAACGAAGGATCCAACGTAACCGCTCGCGATTACCCGCTGGATTTCCGCCAAAATATTTCGCAAGGGTTCGTAGTCTTATAAAGAGCACTTCTTTGCCCACCTTTTTCGTCGGGAGGGCAGGATATTGGCCTTATTTCTATTCATTTTCGAGCTTTTAAATTTCCTCTTTTTGCATTTTGGTGGACCAAAAATTTGTCTCGATTCATGCATGAAAACGCAGAAGAGAAGCTGTCTGTATTCAACTCATCTTCAACTCGCCCCTGAGTCAAAACATTAAAACATATATATGTTGGAGGGGTGTTCAAACCCTTCACTCAGTCTCCCTCCTTTTCTTCTTGCGAGTGGGGAAAGAAACTGGAAACCAGCTTGAACAAAGGTGACTTCGAGCGTCGATAAAGACATTTTGTATGAAAAACGTCAACTTCTTTCATTTTGGCTCCTACACTTATATAAACCTCTCCACGTTTTGATTTTAAAATGCATCGTTCCAAGCATCGATTGTTTCCTTATAAAAGAGGCAAATTAATTAAATTTCAGGTAATCTTCTGTTAATTGGTCAAATTTTTTGCATATGAAATTCAACGTAAAGGACACTTCTGATATAAAACGATAAATGTTTAATCACGACAAATATAATAACTAAACATTACGACTCGATTTGAGGAAGTAATGAAAAAAGATCAAACAAATCAAGTGTTGGGATCACACGTTGTGTCTAGTACCTTTCTTATTCTCAAACCAAACCATCTGAGTTTTGAAACTGAAAAATGGTTTCCCACCTTACTTTGATTATATCACTGGTTGGTCTGTTGTATCTTTGCCACTTTCATGTCGAAGCGAATTCTCGACCATTTCAAAAGAAATCATGTTGGATGTGTGATGCACCGCGATGCGACAGGTGCGTAACAAGTCAGTGGACCACATGGAACCAGTGTTCAGCTCCGTGTGGGTTAAACGGCTATCAGTCAAGAAATAGGGTCGTGCATCAGCCGTCGTCATGTGGTGCTGGATCGTGTCAGAATTTAATAGCAAAGGAGTGGCGACCATGCAACCGTTGGTGTCAAAATGGCGGGACCCCCGCTCGATGGGGCTGCCAGTGTCCGCTTAACTACATCGGTGACTGTTGCGAAACAGGTCAGCTCACTATGAAATTAATTTTAGTTACATAACGCAAGATTCCTTTAAAACTTAAATTCCTTTTTTTCCTCTTTACAATTTAAGTAAACTTGGATCATAATCTCTAGATGATAAGTAAGTTTTTATTCCAATGTTCGAGTTGCTACATGTTCATTATCGGTGTAAAAAATTTCCATGCAGGTGCCCGCCGTTCTCTCAGTAAGCCAGTGCAGACATGTTAAGAGGTGTCAAGGATAATAAAAGATCTATTTCAATTAGATCAGTCAATTCTGATAAAACTGATTGAAGAGAAAAGCTTTACTTTAAGGGGAAGTCTACTAATCCACTTCTTTCGCGCTGATTTAATGAAAAAGAATTTTTCATTTTTGTTCGAAAAATTGTGAAGAACGATTTTAATCTTATCGGATTAGCAGGATGTTTCACTAAGCTACTTGTTATTTATACAATTACCCTGAAAAACAAGCCTTGGCTGAGGATCATGATTAATATTTGGACTTAACAATGGTATGCAAAATAATACTTGTCGTGGGAACTCTACCTAATAAAATTGAGAAAAAAAAATGACATCAGAAATATAATTGTTACTGTAAGCACACATCTGCTCCTCAAGACACTGTCACAATTTCTTTTTGAACAATCCACAGTCTTGAGTAGCGAACCTAGTTTCAACGTTTCGTATTATCTGTGTGTAACATAAATGGTTTGAATCCAGGTCAGGAGTAAAACTTGTTCATGCGGTCTGATCTTCTTTGAGAGAGTAGTTCCAAAAAGGATTGCTGTTGGTAGCAGTGACTGACGTTTTGACAACCTTAAGAGGAAGTCATCATTAGAGTCTAGTTTAATTAAACAAACCATCTTCCCTTTACCGGTATTGATAACAATTACTTCAATTTTGACACCAATCACATTTTGCTGGGGTAAAAATAAATTATACGCTGTGCATTATTATCATTATTTACATATATTTTTATTTTTCAGCATACCTCGGATGGAGCAAGTGGGGAGACTGGTACCCATGTAGTAAGACTTGTGGTGGTCTTGGTGTCCAAAAACGCATGCGTGTGTGTGTTGGGCTCCTGCCGATCAACTCTACAACTTGTGACAGCGTGTGCCCTGGTTCAAATATTGAAACTAGAGCATGCAATACTCATGATTGTCCAGGTTTGCGAATTGAAGATTTATAAGAAGGAGGCTAACGGAGCTAAGTCACATAAGAATTACTTATCAAGAAACTTACTGATTTGGTACAATTTCCTTTCAGTTGAGTACAATTCACTTGGTTGTTTTAAAGACGGTACTCCCCACGCCCTCCCGTTGCTACTAAAAAGCTTCCGAAACAATATCGATTGGAATGACATGACGAAAATCGTTCGGGCATGCGCAGAGATCGCCAAAGAGCGTGGCCTTCCCATATTTGGAATCCAGTTTTACGGCGAATGTTGGAGTGGACTGGACGCCGAAAACACGTACAATAAGTACGGACCTTCCGAAAACTGTTGGAATGGAGTGGGAAAGAAGGGAACCTATCACGTGTACAAAATATGAGTAAAAGTTCCAATTTTTTTCGAAAATGAAGGGTTAAATATTTGACATAATGTTCCTTAGGAGCAGGTTGTGACACGTTATAAAATAAAGTACTCCTAAATTACGAACAAAACCGCATTATCGTTTTAGATTCCCTTCAAATGAAACCCGCGGCTATGAAATTTCCCTAAAAACAGACAACTTGTAGGGCATCCTAATATTTTCACTCTCTCCATAGTCACTAGTCATAGTCTTCACGTAGTCAAAAGTCATAGTCTCCCCGTAGTCACTAGTCACACTCTCCCCGTGGTCACAAGTCATAGTCTCCCAGTAGTCACTGGTCGGAGTCTCCCAGTAGTCACTAGTCAGAGTCTACCAGTGGTCACTAGTCAGAGTGTCCCAGTAGTCACTAGTCATGATCTCCCCGTATTCACTAGTCATGGTCTCCCCGTAGTCACTAGTCACAATCTCCCCATAGTAAAAAGTCGTCTTCTCTCCGCGGTAACTAGTAATAGTTTTCCCATAGTCAAAAGTCATAGTCTCTCCATAGTCACTAGTCACAGTCTCCCCGTAGATACCAGTCATATTCTTTCCATAGTCACTAGTCATAGCCTCCCTGTAGTCACAAGTCAGTCTTCCTGTAGTCACTTGTCAGTCTCTCCATAGTCACTCAGTAGTCATAGTCTCCCCGTATTCAAAAGTCAGCCTCTCCTTAATCTTTCCATAGTCACTCCCAAACTGACTGCTAACAAGGATAATTTGGTTTCGTCAACTCAATTGATAATGTAAATTCGCCACAGTTAAGAGTTTCTAGGATGACGTTTAGAGCGTTAGCCCTTTGTCAGAGCGAAGCCGTGGGTGATATGACTGCTTACATACTCTCACGCCGGTATTAGATTGAGAACCTATCACCATTTACAAGTACATTTCAAAAACAGTCAAGGGGTAAAAGCTAACTGCACAGGAAGGAATGTTCAAATCTTTTTGAACGATCTAAGTCCACAGTTTTCCCCAGAGATTGCTAACCACACCAGAATCCCCGGAGAATCTCCCGAGAAGATTTTCCGAAAACTCTCAAAAATCCTACCATCATGTCATAAGAAACTGCTTTCTGAATACTTCCAGCAATTTATTTGCTTCATTTATAACAATCCCTAATATTTGTTCTTATATGAAGCCACATAATAGCTTTTTCCCCCCGATCTAAATATACAATTGATGAATACATAAAAAATCATTAATTCCGTTCTATCTGAAAAATGATTTCGTTTGTGTAAAACTTACAAGATAAAATAACTCTAAACATAATTCACTTCTTCAACTATTCAATTCTTATTCTTCTTTCTTTCGTAAAACAGGTATAACAGTAAATACCTGGCGATATTATAAACTTTTCTAAATCTTAAAAAAATAATTTTGCCAGTTTTTCACGACTAATACAACATTTTTAGACCAATCTCAGAGTAAACTAATAAAAATATCAAAATATCTATCCATTACTAAATCTCAAATTACATCAATGCGTTGGCCATAGTCATTTCAAGTTTTGTCTACAAGTTGAACAACCTTACGAATAAAGAGTACATGATACTTTCCATTGCTTTTCAAAGGAAAAACACCAAGAACAACGTCCTCTCTTACTTAAACCCTGCAATCAGAAAACACGATATATTGATCACCTACGGGTGTGTGAACTGTCATTGGACAAGCAAACTTTGCTAAAGTAAATGTAGCATCAGCTTATTTTATTCCTTCCTCTTGTCAGCCTAATTCCTTAGGAACAGGTTTCCAAATTTGATTCCTAAACTTTCCCTTAGTTTTCCCAGTGATTAATTTGTCGATTGGCTGCGCAGAAAAACCGAAAACGAAGTAATCGCAACAGCCAATCAAAACGAAGGAAAATATCAATAGGCGTCAATGGAAAATCTGGTTAAAAACGACCCAACTTCGTGAGGCGCAAGAAAACGTGAGTCATAAGGTCGCGATTGGTTTTAGATTTGCCTGTGACTGATCCACTGTTAAGGTGGTTCGCAAACGCGAACCAAACGCGAAATGTCTAGTCCTATCGATCAAACTGAAAATTAACAGGAGTCGCTTCAAGCCTCTACGCTCGGCCGGTGCCCTGATGACGAGCTCGGTGACTGCATTTCTTGGGCCTGGTGCGGGTTGTGAAGACACTTATGAATTCGTTCCTCCATCTGGAATCCCATGAGGTCTTTACGCGTAATTATTCCCCGCACCCTAAGGCAAGACAAAAGATTAGAGTAACTTAGATGAACTTCAACGCGGTGCACCGTAATGGAGCTACAGAGACACAAAGATGGCCGACGATAGAAAGGATCAAAGCAGATTGAAAGTAACAAACTGTTAAAATTCAACTGAACTCTTTATTACGATGCACAGGAGGCGACGATGTCTCTTACGGAAAATATTTTGGAAGGATTATATGTTCTAACCAATTTATCTGCTGGAAAAACTGAGATAACGAGGAAACAACTAAACAATAAAGGAAAAAAACGAATAGGTGACGAAATTCTGATGCCTTGTTTTAGGCGAAACGCAAGACGCAATTCATTTGAAAAAAAAGCTGGAAAAACTTCTACATCTGACAATGCAAAATTTCAAAAAAATTGTGTCGTTGATGATAGTCATACTCGGCTAAGAAGAAAAGCAATTAGTTTTATAGTTTACGCGACAAACCTATTCTTTTGGTCTACAACTGTCAAATGCCTGTGAAAAAAAAGAGAGAAGAGAATTCATACAAAGTTAATCCAAATAAGTTTTTTGTACCGAGATATCGTAAGCGCATCAATAAGTTCTCGGGAGTAGGGAGCACGCCCGGCGGGTAGAGGAGGAGATAGTTCATTGACTTCTAAATTTTCCAAACGGTAAAGAGATGAATAGGCTTAATCATATTTGTTGAAATATTTCAATTCTAGACTACCACATACCTCAACCCTAGAGTTCGGAATATAATATACGTTCGGTGAAGAGAGAATGTCTCCTGAACAGTTGGGGCCGAGTGGTTCACATAAGGAGACTGGAAATAATTAAAACAGAGAAAATAACACTGTTAAAGTTTGTTTAGTCTTAACAACGAAACGATCGCCAATAACGGCCAGAGTTTATCCCGGTTTTCGCTACATGAAGCGCGTAAGGTTACTGAACCTTTCCCTTGGTTGGATGGTCTCCATCTCACGTAATACCCAATTCTTTGCTATGTTTCCTCGACAATTTGCCAGTACCCACTGTCACTCCTGAATGGAGAAAGGTAATGTGATAGTATAGCTAAGAGCAGGAAAAACCCATCAAATGGCCTTCTAATTCCGAAAACGTTTAAATTACAAGAGAATGAATAGAAGCCCTGATAACAGGTGAAGATATTTGCTATGTAACCACGTGACATCTTACTGTTGCTGAGCGTAGGAAAACACGTCAATAGCCCTCTTTTTTGTAACTCTACACGGTTGACAATAATCTTGTTGAATGCGTTACATACCAGATCAATAAACATCTCTTGGAAACGCGGCTCCCCAGCGTAACGCTCCAACTGGGCATTTAGTCCTTCAGCATCACGATGATACCCCTGGTGCATCTACAACAGCATAGAGAGAAGGAATTCAGTGGAAACACTACGCTAAAAAGAAAGTTGGCCGTGTACAAACTTATCTTACAGTATTGCAAAATGTATATTCGATGGTATTTCGTCAGTTGATAAACGATTAACGGAAAAAACTGTCACTAGTTTGATCACAAATGTGGAACAACAAACAAATCCAGGTCCCCCCGCAAGGAATCGAACTCAAGATAAAAAAAAAACAAAACAAGATAAAAAATAACATCACCATCTTTGCTACTGAATTAACACACACTAGACTTCCACCATTGCTAATCCTAGCCGTAGACAGAACGCTTATTAAACGTGCCTGTAGGTTATGGTCTAACTCATTGATCTAACTGATTTATCTGTGGCTCTGTGGGGAAGCATCCGAACACGAAAATCAATTTAACCCTTCGTGGGGGACAAAACTATCTCCTTTTTCCCTCGATAATGAACAATCCTTATGCATAATTATCTTGTTCATGGTGAAATTATTGTTTTATCGTGTAATTAACGTGTTTAATCGTTTAACTGGTGCATTTATTTGCATTTTCTGGTGTTCACCTGGTAGTAATCCAACCTGTTCACGTCAAGCTCTTCTTCGTGCAGAGATAAATTATTGCGGGAGGAGAAGATGTCTTCTCGAGACAAAAGTACCATGATTTCGTTTCTGTAAGACAAATTAGATATTTTTAACTCATTTACCACAAAATAATTTGCGGTAAAAAGCTACCTTCGTGCCAAAAAGGTCAAAGAGCTCCCCTGTGGACTTCACAGCCGTATATACTACCTTATCGCCGATTCACTCTTTCATACCCACGATCTGATATTTTAGAGACAATACTCTTCACCCTTTCCCTCCCATGAGTGATTAAGAGAGAATTTCTCCTTACAATATCAATAAAATATCAAGCATAGAAAAGATGAGAATAAAGTAAAATATAAATTAGGGGATTATTGGTTGATCCAATGCCCAATTCTCCAAATTGACATCATAAGAACTATATGTCAGACATTAAAGAGAATTACTCTTGAGATCTTGGGAGTTAAAGGGTTGGGTAGATATCTTTCTGCTTTCTCGTAACCTTTCTTCCTGACTGTAATAAGAAATCCAAGGAGACTTTACATGCCAATCACTCTCGGACATCCCAGGACTAGCTCCCAACTCCTCAAAAATGGGCAAAGCAACAATATTGACTCTTACAATATCAGCACCTAATTCATTTCAATTGTACATCCAAAGCTCCATCATGGTGTTTTTGTTCTTAGTGTTGTTGTAGGTGGGGTTGTTTTTCTTCGCCGTTGTGAGAGAAAACAGTAACTAATTATTCGTAGCAAAATAGGTTTAATCAATTCTACAATATTTTTTTATTTTATTCCTAGAAATATTCATGGTCATTTCTACATAAGAAAGTTTACAAGACCCCTCGGATGTAATCAGAACCACTGTCAGTGGCTTTACAAAATCTTTCAAGCTTTCACTGCGCACATGCCGCCCCTGATTTTAAGATATGCAAAACAAATGACAATTATGAAGAACAACTGGCAAGTGCAGAGTTGCATATTCTTGGCTCGCTTTCAAGTTTTCACGCTGTCAATTCATACGCTTTACGATCTGTGAATCAGTCAAACTCATGTATCAATCAAACATTTACCCAACCAACCGCATAACCGGGCCATTTTTTTAAAGGAGCAATCTATTAGTCTCTATGGGATGTCAACGGTTTATGGGGAAGCGCTACGTGACATCGAAAAGAGAGACTACGAAGGAGACTGGCAACCGATCGGTCAAGCGCTTAATCGATAAATAGGGCAGTTAGCCAATCAATTCGGTGCGTTAGTCATCATCCCGCCCTTTCCCCCCACCCCCTTCCCTCCGGTAATGTAACATTGAAGAAATACAAAGAGCTGAAGTCTGAACAAGAAACTGTTACAGGAAATTTGGAGGGGGAGGGGAATTGAAACAATAGGTAGCAAACGGAAGGGAAATACATCAAGACCAACATTTGGGAGTCATTTGATTTTTAATCGTCTAACAACAGAGGAGGAAGAAGGAAATCAAAGTGCAAACGAAGAAGACTAGGGTACGACCGTGAAGGAAGTTCTCTCCCCATGCACGCCCCACCCCTTTCCCCTTAAGGGTAGTTAGAAAGGTTGAAAACACGCGATTGTCGTATAGTCATACGGAGATGCGTAAAATATTAGTTACGAAAATATTCGGTATTATCCATTGAAGTTTATCTCCTTGAAGTAACAAGTGGCTCTGTTTCGCTGTTTAAGCTTGACAATCCGCGTATTGCATGTTTATTGTATTTCCATTTCTTGGATACAATGTAACAAATGGCAACAACAACTTCAATACTTCCGATGCAAATCAACGCTACAGAGACAAAAGGGACAGCTCTTATGGCAATCAATACACTCTTCATTTTGTTCGCAGACGATGCATCCACTTTCACGGTGTTGTTAAAATACATTATGGGCAAGATCACCTCCTTGACACCGGCCATTTGCACCAAGAATTTTACATGTTCAATATTCAAGTTGAGTTGAAGCCGTAAACTCAGGTGAAGAGGAAGGCCAAAATTTGGTTCAATGTCAAAGAAGGTACCGTGTTCTTCTTTGACTGGGTTCAGGCCTTCAACATTTTTTACAAGAGATGGGTCGCCTTGATAAAAATGCGGTTGAGACGCCACAATGGCTGGTACGGAACCGGCAGAGGGGCCTTTGCAAACACTTGCATCGAGAATGCCGCTTGGAAAACATCCATTGGGACAGAAGCCTTTGTTGGCCGGGTTCACGCTCGCGTTCTGCCACAGTTCCTCTGGGTTCGTAAATCTCAATGTCTTCACACTATAAATATTTGTGTGAGAGTCAAAAACAAGGCTCATGGACCTGCAGAGTTGTACGTAAAACGCATAGAGAATGTCTCCGGTACTGGTTTGAGGTGGAAATTGCATGCCATCGCTTCCATTGAACATGTTTGCCCAACGAGATTTCCACAAACCTACATCGGATCTTCCCTTCCATCGAGTCCAAACTGCAGCACGGCTGATATCTGATGCTCCAGTGTAAGTGGTTGTAACGCCATCGTAAGTATTATTCTCCATCATTCGGAATATAGGATCAATATCCGGAAGGAAAGACAAATGAAATTTTCGCTTGAGGTTAGCAAAAAACTCAAACACGGGATCTTTGTATCCCCAGAGTAATTCTTCAACTGTGTTAACCCTGAAGAACTCTTCCTTAAAACGAGCGAAAATCATGCTGAATATCAAAGATGCACCGGGATATTTTTTGGAAACTTGGGAAAGAATAACAAGCGGTATGTTTGGGAGCGTGACATTATCAGTGTGAGGATTATAAGACGAACACGAGCTATCGACATCGAAGACATACTTGGTAAATTTATTATAGGATACAGTGCTATTTTTGTTCCATGTAATGTTTTCCTTCGTCTGGTATACTCTGTAACTATACGGTCCTTTCTGACTAACACAAGGACGGTTGCCCTGTTTCATTTCCATCGGATTCTCTACATTGAACACATAGAACTGCATTAGAACAGGGACAGTTGGTGATCTCCATTGCTGGTAAATAGGAGAGCTCGGTTTAATCACAAGCTTCGAGTCGATTATGGAATGTATCCATGCAACAGCTTTGCAGAGACTCACAGTGCCAAGGACGATTAATAACACACCGGATATTAAAAGGAAAATGACTTTTTTCTTCGTTTTAAAACAGCTTCCATCAGTTTTTGTCGTCGTTGTCGTGTGGAACATGCCTTGAGCCGAGTTTACTCCAACGATTAAAACAAACAAATTGGCTTTTTTTTTTTTGGCTGTCTAGACATCAAAGAACCTTTCGCGACAGAGTCAATTATTGCATATTAAACTCGGTTGAATTATTCCGCACAAAATCGATGCACTCCTTCAAATTCTCTCCAGCTTTCACACAAGGCGATAATTATTGCTCTTCTTTCCAAGTAGATCGTTTGGAATGCATAGTAAAGTGAAACCAGCGGTGATAGAGGCGGATTGGGGGCGGCTGTCTCCGTGCATGCAGGCTTGAACTTGTTGTCACTTGCTAAACATTGCGCCAGGCAATCCAAAGTCAGTAACTGTACGTAGTTAACAATTCAATACTTCAGACAAGACCAAGGTATGTCCCCAGAGAAACCAACACCAACTTAAGATGGTGCAATATTCGAGACACTAAGCACGGCATAAAATCTAAAACCCAGACCATGTAAAAATAATACCGCGACGATTTTAGAAACAATAGACAGTGTGTCAAAAGGGCGACCCACATGCATCAAATCAGTTTGAACTGTTACACACGGCATGCAAACGACATGCTAGGTTTCCTCGCGTATTTGGTTTCACTGGTCGTGGCAAGATTGCCCTCGGTCTACGCGTATGAAATTATTTTTAAGATGAATGGTGAAATACAAGCTAAAGTGAGACCACCGAGTCACTCCAATAACCCTTTAGTTTGATAAGTATGAAGTCGAAAGATCCGAAACAACGTTTTTGCATAGGAATCGTTTTTCAAGGTCAGTAAAACGTCGGCTTGCGATTTGACCTCCAAAAAGGATCCCACACTAAGCATATTGACATTTAGAGGAGAGTAAACTTCATATCAAGTATCTTGGTTATTAATGTAAATTCCCTTCATTTGGATTACGTAATTGTGCCTCTAAACTGTCGCAAGTTATTGGATTTTCAACTCGATGGATCTTTGTCAAAAATCCCTTACCCATAATTTGTCACTGTAGGTTTCCTTAATTAAAAGTTCACAGTGTGTGGGTCACATAGTGCGCGATTGTACGAAAGATAAGAGCTGATTAGTCGGACCTGAGGACCGCTTTTCCCTCTCACAATTAAATCAAATGAATGGCATGTTGATCTACAATGATAAAAAAACTACGTCTCATATAATGATCCTCGCAGATCCCCGAGCCTCTAAACCGACCCAAGTTAGTGGATTTTCAATTCGAAGCAGCTTTACCACAAATCCCTTACCATCATGTTACATTCTATATTCCCCAATTTCACAGTTTAAGGGTCATATTGTGCGCGATTGAACAAAATATCTTATCTTTTAAATAAAAAGATGTTTCGGAACTGAGTATCGGTTTTCTCTTTTTTAATAAATAAAGTAAATAGCATTTTCACCTGCGAATGATTAAGAAGTAGCGTAATGATCCTCGCAGGTGAGTTTTAAATAAAGCAATTTCAGAGAAGTCTGGAAAAATTCAGGTTTGACAGGATTCAAACCCGACCTACTGAGCTACAAGGCCACAACTTGGGAACGCACCAAACTGAATC